TAAAGACTTGATTTTCCTTTCTTGCAATTCTTGTCAATTTGTCAATGTCGACATTAGCTCACAACGTGTTGGAAACTCTAATTTCTTGAAGTTTTTCAGCACAATCTGAATACAAGATCTCTGCATCAACTTTATTTGTGTTGCTCACCATCGCTCAATCTCCTTTTTTTACTTCCTTTTTTTAGAAAACTGCTAAATTCTGGAATCACTTTACTATACACTTTTATCTAAAACTCTCCTGCTTCTCTGATGCCACCATTGGGAACTTCGTTTGACTCTTCTTACAAATAATTTTAACAGAAACGAGACTTAAACCTTGTCGTATCTTATACCATTAATGCAAAAAAAAGCCTCGCTATTAACTGCAACAGAAAATGGTGCTATTTATGAGCAATAATGCAAGCATAAAGTACTACAATGCATCTTACAATAAAGAATAAAATGCTTCCAAGTCCTTGAGTCGCTATGTCTACATGCCAACGAATTCCATCTCATTTGCATGAAAGAGCATATGGTATTCAGATTAGAGTGACGACAATGAAAGAACAGCTATCATAGAATTAAAACAGATGAATAGCATGTGAAAATCAAAACAGTCAATCTTTGAGTGTTCAAGTTTTTTCTTTTGGATATTTATTGAAGACAATCCGCTCACCTGCGATTTCAGTCCGGATTCCGCTAACATTTCAGAGTTTGTAGAAAGTGTAGTTTAGGAATCTAAAAACTTTGTTGATGGATGAAAACCGAGTTTGTAAGACAGGACTCCCAAGACAAACTGCAGACTATTCAACTTCTCATATTATCAATAGAAGAGGTTTAAAGGCTCATGCACGAAATGCTTGAACCTCTACTACTGATAATATGAGAAGTTGAATAGTCTACAGTTTGTCTTGGGAGTCCGGTCTTACAAACTCGGTTTTCATCCATCAACAAAGTTTTTAGACTTCTAACTACAAGTTCTACAAACTCTGAAATGTTAGCGGAATCCAGACTGAAATCCTATGTGAGTGGATTGCTTGCATAATTGTCAGAGACTAAACGCCAAATCGCATTTCGTAACGATCGGATTTTGTAATCGATTAAAAATCTGGTAATTGATTATGATCGATTATAATCAAAATTTATAATCAGATTTTTCTGCACCTAAATCAAAATTATAATCAGTACTACCCAGGTCGAACAAGCACGGTCGTAAACTATCGTATACGAAAAAATACGACAAAATACCAGGCTCAGTATTACGATCGTAAATCTTCGTGTCGTATACGGAGTAACACGACAATATACGGAGAAAAATACGATCGTTTACGATTTTCGTATACGGAGTTCGTATACAGGAACCGTTTTTGCTCTGTATTTCTCCGTATACGATCGTTTACGACCATATATGGTCACAATGATATACGATCGTAATACTGAGCCAGGTATTACGTTAAAATACGACCGTAAACGGTCGTATTGATGTAGTATACGGTCGTCTACTGTCGTATACGAAGTCCGTAATCGTCGACCTGGGTAATCGATTATGGACTGATTAAATCGATTGGCATTGATTAGCCATTTTGATTTTAATCGATTATAATTTTGATTTTGGCGCAGAAAAATTCGATTATCAATCTGAATTATGGCCATGGGATTTTGAAATTTTAATCGATTTTAATTCTTAAAATTTTTCACTGGGTACTGAGTTAATGAATTCAATACATGAAAGTCTTTATAGGCTTTATTGTTCAATATTAGTAAAGTTCATTTTTGATGAGCTTTCATGTAATTTAAAAATTGATTGTCTACTCTTTTAAAGCCATATTGGTAGTCATCTGGCAAAATACTATTTCCTATATAATATAAATAAATGTGTTTCTAGCGTCACCATACGTTTGTATTAGTGGTGTGGTAGCTGTTTTCCTTAAGAAGATAGTAAAACTTCACGAATTCGCATTCGTTTTGAGTGTCTATAAGCACAATATTCAGAACTATAATAAATCCGATGGATTCAATCTAACTATGATAGTTTAGTACAGTGACAGAAGACGACACGCTTGTTTCTTCTCATGTCACGGTGCATGAGTGGTATATTTCCAGTAACGACCAACATCTGTAATATAAACGATTTACATTGTGACCACTGAAACTGTTCCGTACAAAATTATGTTTTCATGTTGACAGTTTAATGAATGCTGTCAAATTTCTCTTCTATTTTATCAATTTTATTAATAAGTAAAATTAGTTTCGAAAATGGATCTTGTATGTAAATTTCATTTGTTAAGTTTATCTGTAATGTTTGAAATGTTTATATGCAACAAAAAAACTGATTAATTCTATAAATGTAAGGTAAGAATTTTGAATTAAATCTATCTATTGATTTTTGATACACAAGTATTATTATTTATGTCCTAACTACTAAGAAACTGATATCCGTATATCGATCGATAGAATGTTCGCTATATGCAATAGTGTAGCTCTGCTCTTTGTTTAAACTGTTGTATTAAAACGTGTAAATATTTTTGAATCTTGTTAACAGTAAAAGAATTACGTCATTTTTTATGCCTTCAAATAATATTAAACCATCTAAGTTGCTTGTACTAGTCACAACATATATTTACTGTAGTACCCCTGACAAACTGTAAATGTAACACTAGTTCTTATGAGAATCATAGGAGACTGATGATAGAATTTTTCCATTTTCTCTCTTTTTATCATATCATTGTTTTCCTTTTCAGCGTTTTTAATATACCAAATATAACATTTTAGGAATCTTTTGTCATATTTCATTTCCAAAACGCGTCGCAAAAAAAAACTTCATTCAAAACAAAGAAAATCTACATGATAATAATATCATCACGGACAGGTGAATACGTCTCCATACATTTGATTCAATTAATAAATCATCATTCTTGAACTTCCATATGAATTATGTTAAGTAGTGCAGAGTGAAGGCATCAGATTAACAATACATTAACAATATTCCGAACATTTTTTATCAAATAATTAAAAATCAAGACTGGTAAAGTACGAAGTGATCGAGATCTTCATGTACTTTTCGAGTGAATATTTACTTTCGTACAAGTTTGATTCTATATTAAAAATTAATTCGAAGAAATGAAAAAAACATTTCCGAAGAATCTGACTATGCAGTTGTGTTCATATTCTGGACATTTTTATTTTACTGAACCGGCGTAATTCAACATGTATACATATAATATTTTCCTTTCTTCAAGGTATCGATTCACATTAATGATGTGCTGAAAATATTTAGTCTAACTAGTTTTTTTCAGGAAATATATCACTCTTACAACTCAAAATAAAAATACTGAAACCTAAGGTAATATTTAACTACTAGCACGAATTTTGAAAACAGCTATTGAGCATTTCTCAAATTCTAGTAAGGCATAAGCTGCATTTTTCTAAACGCCTCGTTAACTTGTAACATATCGTGTGTCATATATGATCACTTTTTAACAAGTTATTAGCAGTTTAGTGATCGGTATAGTGACAAATTATCTATTCCGATATTGACTTATACTACGCATGTAAACAAGAAACGCAAAATCGATGCGTTGCGACGCGGTTTGACAATAAAACGCGTTGAGACGCAGCTAAAAATGATTTCACGACGCATGCAAACGCGGTTTGATATGAAACGCATTGACACGCAGTAAAACATATTTTGAAACGCGTTTGGACGCAGTTTTTCTGTATAACATGTTTAAACACAATTAGAAAAAAAATGAAACGCGTCTCAACGCGTGTCCAAAAAAACATTTAATGTGTTTGAAAGCATTTTATCTAATAACTGCGTTCAAACGCGTCTCAGATATTATTCCAGTCGCGTTGGGATGCTATTATATTTCTGAACGCGTTTGCCCGCGTTCATTTCTCGCATTTCCGATGCGAATTTACTCCAAAAACTTTTTTTCTAGAAGGGTGAGCCACGTGATCGAAATCGTCGGCTTACATCTGTTTTATTTATCTAAATTTCATGGAACTTTTTAATAAAGAATGTTCAGATGACGTTAAAATAGACAAAAATTTAATTAAACATAAGGCATATAATCCATATTTCTTTAAAGTTTGTATGAATAATAATGAGACAATATCCCAATAGTTTTCAGCTATCCAATAACCTTTTAGCAAACTGATAAATACTACTGTTTAAATTATATGATTAACAACTTCTATCAAACTTGTAAATAAACTTTATGAATAATTATTTATTCATTAAATCCTTCGATAAAATTATATATCGTGTTACTACTGTAATTAAAAAGCTTTCATAACATTAATCACATTTAGTACTATAAAAATAGATATCATTTTAATTTTAAAAAAAATTATTTAAAAAAATAAGTGAAAAATTACGTTGTGTTAAATATGTTACTTCGAAAAAATTACATGCTATTGAGATAAAGTATTTAAGCGACCGAATTTTCATTCAAATGTATCTTATTTTGAACGAGAAATACTTTCGAGCTAATATAGCACAATGGTGTATGTGAACGACTTCTGATCACTGGTTCATCTGTTCAAATCTAATCGTCACCGCTTAATGTAAAATTCAATCCATATGTCAGATTAGGCTAAGATCATTGATAAATGTTGACGATGTGGACTCAGTTCGAATCTGAGATGAATGCTGATATATTTTTCAAAATTTTTATTTTTTATATGAAACGCGTTCAGACGCTTCGAATGTTTCACAGGGGACACGTTTTCGTTAAAAACGCGTTTGAACGCAAGCCAAACTACAAAGGCATTCAGACGCATTTCTAAAATAAATCGCGTCTAAACGCTTCGTTTGTTTCACTGGGGACGCGTTCAAACGCGTTCACTCTTAGCGTTCCGCATGCAAATGAAATGCGTTTCAGACGCGCTTCTAGGCAAAACATATTTACATGGGTAGTAATAAGCTATTTATAACATTATTTAAGTATTGTATCTAAAGGATTTTATTACAACAAAACTACGCTACATGAATAATATTATTACGAGTAGTTATTATTTCAACAGTATGAGGTTCTAGTATCATTATCAACACGAAGTGCTATCATCGTGATATCGCGAAAGTCATCGAACGAGTGTGAAGTTTCTTTTAATCTATTTCGAGATTTAACTTCGGTGTTTCTTGTAATGTTACGATCTTTTTCTTGATTATTTTCTTCAAAAGTTTTTTTATATTTACGAGATTTTAATTTTGATTCTTTTGATTTTCTTATTTCTTTAGCAGCTACAACACGTTTTTGTTCACTTATACGTTGTGATCGTATTACTAAATAGAGAAGAATTACCCATAAACCTTCTAATCCATTAAATATATTAAAAATCCATCCTAAAACATTTGCAGCTTCGGGAGTAGCAATTGTCAAAAATGGACCGAGAAGCCAACCAATCCCTTGTGTTGCACACGAAAAAAGTAATATTATTACACACGTTTTCATTCTTTCATGTGAATGATGACGTGATGTTGAATTTCGAACATGACGTAGCATACGTTGAGCTACACGAATAAATATAAATATATTAATTAAGAGAAACAGACCAACAGGTATGGTTAGAAAATAATATATAGCAGGACGTGTAAACCAACAAAGTTTATATGGATATAATTGAGTAATTTGAAATGATGGATTAGAATTAAACCCAGCGGCGAAAGCTACCCATGCGACTGAAATGAAACATGACCCTACCAACATCTGCAGCAACCGCCGATATGATGGTGCAGGAAATAGACAAACAAAACGTAGATAATTAAAATATCCAACACTTGTTTTGGTGCAAAGCATTAAAATTAAAAAGAAATAAACAAAAAACATTAACACACTTGAACTTAGAAAGCATTGCTTTTCATCATCAAATGTTGTTTTCATGTAGACTGTAATGGCTAGAGCTATGTAAAAAGCAAAGAGAATTACTGTCATTCCGCATGAAATTAATGGTGGTAAATCATATGTTTGTAAACTCATAATTGGATCTCGAATTCGTATAATAATGGCATGAATAATAATAGCCAAAAAGCAACAAATGGATATTGATTGAAATACAAGAGATGCAATATCTTGTGCATTGAAATGACGTGTAAGAGGTACTTTTGGCAACCAAATAAGAGCAAAGGAAGTGGTATGGTTGCAAACACATTCGTGTCGATTAAATGTTGAATTATATCGAGGTATCGTACAACCGGATTCATTCCATGTAGAATTAGTTGTATCAAAGTATGAACAAAAGTAATCGACTTTTAAAGATTTATTTGGTTTATATTCATCCAAAACCTGAAAAAAAAGGGAGATATTCATTGGATTGGATACAGAAGCATCTCTCTTGATTGCCATGACGATAACTGATGATGCGAGCGTTTTGTTTGATGAATTATCTGCCTTTTCATATGTTACAGGTTTATCAATGATAAGTATATTAATAGATATGACACCTGTTAGAGATTGATTGCTGATAAGTGCTGCAGTTGAGAAATATGAATTGGTAACATTGTCTTTATTGAAATTATCAACAATTTTGCCACCAACACCGCGTGTAAATGAAGCACCTAAAACTATTCTATTTTCTCCTTGTTTGGGTTGAAATGCAACAAGTATTGAATCAGTTGTATTTTCTGTTATATTAGGAGCGTTTATTTTGGATACAAGGGTATCGATTTCGTTAACATTGAGAGTATAAGATTGGTTTAAAATTGCATTCGAATGCGCAAGCAAGCTTATATAAATTGAGAGATACTTAGCAATAACAGTTGAATTTGTGGTTTTTCGCAATGTGTTTACTGCCAATACCTAAAAGAAATATATTCAGATGAAGTGGAAAAGCTCTGTATACAGACTTGCGCCTCAGGTTTAGAAACACAACCATGATCAGGAAATTCTACGTGCGTAGAGGTATTGCAAATGATATTTGGCAACCAAACGAGTCCAAAAGTAGATAAGTGATGACAAATACATTCATATCGATCAAATGTTGAATTATAACGAGGTCTTCTACAACCGGATTCATTCCATTTCAAATTTGTTGTATCATAAAATGAACAAAAATAATCAGCACTTCTATTTGGCTGATATTCATTCAATACTTGAAAATAGAGAGAAATATTCATTGGCACATTTCGAGAACCACTGCGCTGTACAGTAGCCACGATAACTGATGATGCAAGGGTTTTATTCGTTGAATTATCTATATTTTCATATGTTGTAGGTTTGTCAATAATGAGCATATTGAAAGACGTAACACCAAGTAAAGCTTCATTGCTGATAAAAGCTGCTGCTGAAAAACTTGAGTTGGTCACATCACGTGCATCAGTAGTATTGACAACTTGGCCACCAGTGCCACGTCTAAATACACCACCCACAGTTGATACGTTTGAATATCCAAGAAGCTGTTGAAACATAATAAATGACGTATTGCTGTTGGCAATCAAAGTGGCATTGCTAGGAGTACCAAGAAATTCATCAATCTCATTAGGTCGGAAAATATAATTGGAATTCTGCGTTATATTAGCATTAATGATTGATGCAAAATATAATGAGAGAGCATTGACTATAATACTACTGTTATTTGTTCTATTACGTAAACTATTTACCGTAGCAATCTAAATGATAAAAAAAATTCCATGAGATTCAGTGAAATTTTTCTCAGACCTGAGCATCCAGTTTCGACACACAAGTACCATTTGACAGAAGTATATGACTAGATTCATTACAAATAGGACGAGTTGTAGTGATGATAGTGTGTGAAGTCGTAAAGTCAGTGCTTGTCATGTGATGAGTAGACACTGCAGACGCTGTCGTGGTCGAAGCAGTTGTTCTTATGGAAGTTGTTGCTAAAGTGATCCTAGAAGTTGTGGGATGAGTGGTTATCGTAGTGATGAGTATTGTCGAAGATGTGTCTGCTGTTGTAAAATCAGTTGTTGTTGTAGAAAATACTGTAGGAGAGGTCACATTCGTACTCATAGAAGCAGTACTTGCGGTGGATTCCTTCGTTGTTGTAGTCGTACTTATGTTCGTAGAATGACTAGTTATTTCTAAATCTGGCGTTGTTGTAGTGGTATCTATAGTTGTGGAATCATTGCTTGATGTAGAGTCTAGCATTGCTGTAGTCGTATTTATGTTCGTAGAATCACTAGTTAATTCCGAATCTGGCGTTGTAGTAGTAGTAACTGTAGTTGTGGATTCGTTGATTGTTGCTGATTCTAGCGTTGTTGTAGTCACATCTATGTTCGTAGAATCATTGATTAACGTGGAGTATAGTATTGATGTAGTAGCGTCGATGGTTGTGGAATCATTACTTGATGCAGAGTCTAGCGTTGTCAAACTCGTATTAATTACTGTGAAATCAGTGGCGGTTGTGGAGGCTGTGTGTATTTCGGTTATATTCTTTGTTGTAGAATCAATGGGTATCGTAGAATATGTTATTGTTGAAGTATGGTCTATTGCTGTAATATCATCAATCGTTTCAGATTCATTTACTCTTGTTGGATCCGTTTCTATCGTCCAGGCGACTGTTGTCGTGGTTATAGGCAAGGGTGAAGAAGTTTCTGTTTCGACATATGGTAACATTGTTGTAATATTATTTGCTATTGTAGGCTCAGTATTATATTCGAAAGTAAACGTATCTGTAGTATTGTCAACTATGACAGACGTGATTGTAGCTGTCGTAAATACTAGGATGGTTTGATCGGTCGTCATACCTAATTACATTATGTATATAAAAATCCGTGTGTAGGTGTGGTATAATGAATAAGAAATAGTTATGTTGGAAAATAACTTTCGTGGTTGGAGATCGGTGTAAAAAATGTAAATTAGCATTGGAAGTTTACTTATCTAGGCTTATGAAATATGCAGTTTATTAAATAGCTTTGTTTTACAGGTAAATTGTGGTTCAGGAATAAAATAGAAGAAAATCTTCTCTGAATATGTTGAATATCATACAAATTTAAATGGATTAGAGACGTGTGACTGATTGTACTGGTTCAGGAGAACCATGACTTTGAAACTCACAAAAACTGTTGTTTTCAGTTTAAAATTATCCCTAACTGCAACAGACATGCATTCTAATTTTGTTGATTCTCAATCCAGTCATTTTGTTACCCATATCTATTAGCTTAATGTATGCTTCTATATGTAACTCATCGACCTATGTGTCAATTTTTTAGGAACGAAGATCAGATGATGATAACATAAAGTTGTTCATTTTAGGTTTATTCTACTATTGCTTAAATCTCGAGAGATATGAAACTCGTGTTCAGTTTAAATGAACACTATGCAATGGAAAAATGAAATGTCTCTGTCTACTGATAAATACCGTATCCCATCGCAAATAGTCTCACCAACAGTACTATTGAAATTTTCAGCTGTATATCGTAGTTTTACTTGTTTCTATATCAATTCTAGAAAACTTGGAAAGAAATGAAAAAAGCAAGATTAAAGCATGAGATGTTAAGAGTATGAAAATATATATGAGGATGGGAACCTATATTACACAATCATGCAAAATCTATATTTAAGCTATGTTTTAATTGTGTCAGAAAATCTCGACAAATGAAAATATTCTCACTTGTATCTTGTCCAGATCCAGATCCGGATCCAGATCCAGGATCCATTGTTATTGAACTACCGTCAAAAACTTGTCGTTCTTCCTGTTGATTAATGATAGCGTGAATGAGTTTTTCATGCAAATATTGATTTTGTATATTCGTATCATCATCATCGTCATTCAAAAGTTCAATATAACGATATGAATGTATGGTGCTTATGTAAATAAAAAGAATTATCAAATATGTAAAATAAAATCTTGTATGAATTTTTTTCATGATTTGATTGTCTAAAAAAAGAATTGTTGCTTCAAGTAAGTATGGATAAATTACTTACAAGATATTTATTGTTGATAAAATAAACTGCTAGCAACTGGTTGAAATTTTATCGATATCAAACAAGTAATAAAAACGAAGGTTAATGATATTGTTATTCTCTTCTATTATCAACAACGAATTTTGTTCTTTTTTTTTCTTTTGTTAACTATTCAATTTTCATTTGTGAAGATAAAGATTATCAATATATTTATATAAACGTAAGTATTAAGTATTGATTTCATAGAAAATAATTTGGTAACAATTTTGATGTTTTTGATTGAATTGGTTTGTTTTTTCTTCAAAATAAATCTTGTCTTTTGATGACCAGGGATGTTGAAACAAGTCAATAGTATTTTGGTTCTGTCACTTTGCATTACGAGATGTTTCATAAACTTAGATAATAAAGTTTTATCTTTTAAGAATACTTCTTAGTCGATGAAAAGAAAAAGAAAAAGAAAAATTTTCTTCTTTCTTTTTTTTCTCTCAACTTAATCCAATATTTACAGTAGTTTTGTAAATGAATGAATTTCATTTTCTTATATTGATCATTTGATTGTATCACATCAAAAGTTTCTAAAATCTAAATTCGCCCAATAATCTCATAAATGATCATTATCAACATACAAAAATAAAATATTTTTTAAAGATTAATTGCTATTTCGAAGTGATCCGTACGATATAATTTGTAATTTACAAAGATTTCTATCCAACCAACAGATACGAGCCGATGTATATTTTCTTCAACAGTTAAATTATACAGGTATTATTTGTATTCATTTTAAAAAATTATTTATTTAGAAATAAAATGTACTTTCATTTTATTATTTTTTTGTTGATATTAGTAAAATAATTTTCATACATTATTATAAGTAAACGAATCGAGTTTATATGAAAATATTTGAGTGAATAAATAGATAAAGCATAAACAATTACAATATTTTACACTTGTTTTGACGAAAATATGAAAATTAAAAACATAATTAGATTTAAAAAGAAAATATTTTGATTCATTTTCAAACGACCTTTTTATCCTGTATCTTCTCTCATTGACAAAGGTATATAAAAAGAATTGTTGCTATCGTACTTGAAATTATTGCCAGTAAACCATATCAACTTAAATTCATTCATAAATCACAAATTTATATCATAAAAATGAGTAGTCCAAAAAGAATGAACTTTGCCATATTTTGAATGTATGTCGATAGTAATAAAATGTGAAGAAGTCATATTTTTAATTCTCTATAATCTTCCATATGTCTAAAAATTCGAGAATTTTTTCAGAAAAACTTAAAACAATAAAAACATATATGATTAATCAAGTATTCTAAATTGTAAAGTTATTTGTCTTTGAATAAACAGTATTGTTAATATATAAAAATCTGGGCTAATATCACAGACGAATAGCACTAGTAATTATTATAAATTTTCATATACTGATGATAACTGTTAGCCAAAAATAACTAAATTAGTTTCGAAAGTTTTAAACTATTTCATTAGTTATATATTTTTTTCTGGTTCAAATTAATTGAGAAACTGAAAAAAAAATTTATTTAATACATTCACAACGAGATTCATCTTGCTTTTTCATAATTTGCCAAAGGTTTTATTTCTCTTTTTGTAGCAACATTAGTACTTTAAAACATTTTTTATCAATGTTTCTCTTATCAATATGAGCCATTAACAATCCTTTATTATTAGTAAAACAATGAGTCACTTTGGGTAAAATATGACAGAGATATTCAAATTTCTCTTCGATAAATGAGCTTTGGAGTCGCACTATGATATGAGATTCATCGGTGGATCCGATCGCCTCGAAAAGGTTAGGATTTAAATCTTGTAGAACAAAATTTCTACACCTACACTTACTTGAAAAAATTCCTTTTATTCAAATATTGAATTTTCAAGTAAACTCGATATTTTTACAATGCTTGTGACAAATAATAACTTTGTTTTTGAAATTCGATATCTCGACGAAAAAGAAAAAAGAAGTTTTCATTTTATCTAAAATTTCAAGAATATTCTATGAAGTTTTTAGAGCTAATATATAGAAATGAATTTTCAAATTCAAAATTTTTTTTTTTTAATTTTCTTTTGTTATGCATCGAATATTTAGTGAAACAATTCTATAATAACAATACAGTAGATATTAAATTGCCTATTTCCTTTGTTAACTAGAAAATTTGTCAAGTATCAACTTATGTTTTCATACTTTGAGATTTATCATCAATATTTCTTGTGTTATCTGAAACTGTTCATTTGCCTTTTTAATTATTATTAATACTATTTTGCTTAGTTTTTTGTATATAATTTAGTTTAATACATCTATATCATTATCGTCATGTACAAGTTTAGAATAATCATATGAATCTATATAGATTATATAAATACGATATGTGAACAAACATCTAGAATCTTGCAGTGATTTTTATCCTTATTTGATGATCGAAAAAGAGATGATTGATTGCAATAAATTACTTTTGTTTCACATTTATGCAATTTGAAATAAAAAAACATAATTCAAAGAATTAATATAACATATGCAGTTCCTCATCCTAGTTACATATATGTTCTCTTCATGTCACCTCATACACAAAACATGAACATAATTATTTTTACAGAAATTATGAAATAGTTGAAGAATGATAATACATTGATTTCTATTTGCTCAAGCAATAGATTTTCTTCATATAACAACATGAAGTATTATTAGAAGATTTCTTCATGTCATCGTTTTTTTCTTCTTACTTCTTACTTTTTTCTTTTCACCACATTTCACATGCTTGAGTTTTAGACATCTTATCGATTTTTGTTTGTTGCATAGGAAAATTTATTCAACTTAGTGAATCAGTAAGGTAATAAATTAATAAATTAATAAATTTCAATATAATTTAACATTTTTCAATAGATAATTTATAACAACATTTAAGTATTATACTTAAATAATTTTATTAGAACAAAACTCCATTAAATAAATATTACTACTAGTTGTTACGATTTTTACGATATAATGTGACACTGTGATCATTAATATGAGAATCTATCATTACAATTCACAAAGATCATCAAATGAGTTTCAATTTTATATTTATCTATTCTGAAGTCTAACTTCAATGTCTTTTGTATTTCTATGATCTTCTTCTTGATTATTTTCTTCAAAAGACTTTTTATATTTACGAGATTTTAACTTCGCTTCCTGCAATTTTCTTATTTCTTCAGCAGCTACAACACGTTTTTGTTTCTCCATACGTTGTGATCGAATTATTGAATAGAGAAGTATCACCCATAAACCTTCTAATCCATTAAAAATAATAAAAAACCATGCTACAACATTTGCAGCTTCGGGAGTAGCAATTGTCAAAAATGGACCAGGAAACCAACCAATTCCTTGAGTTGCACATGATGGAAGTAAAATAAGTACACATCGTTTTGTTCTTTCATATGAATGATTAAGTGATGTTGAATTTCGAACATGACGTAGCACACGTTGAGCTACACGAATAAATATAAATATATTAATTAAGAGAAAAAGACCACCGGGTATTGTTAGAAAATAATATATGACATTACGAGTAAACCAACAAAGTTTATATGGATATAATTGAGTAATTTGAAATGATGGATTAGAATTAGATCCAGCTGCAAAAGCAACACATGTAATAGAAATGAAAAATGATACTACAAGTAACATTAACAATTGCGAATATGATGATGGAGGAAACAAACAAACAAAACGTAGATAATTAAAATATCCAACACTTGTTTTGGTGCAAAACATTAAAATTAAAAAGAAATAAACAAAAAACATTAACACACTTGAACTTAGAAAGCATTGCTTTTCATCATCATGTGTTGTTTTCATGTAGACCGTAATTCCTAGAGCAATGTAAAAAACAAAGAGAATTATTGTCACTCCACATGAAATTAACGGTGGTAAATCATGTGTTTGTAAACTCATCATTGGATTTTGAATTCGTATAAAAATTGCATGAATAAGAACGGCTAAAAAGCAACAAATGGATACTGATTGAAATACAAGAGACGCAATATCTTGTGCATTGAGATAACGTGTAAGTGGTACTTTTGGCAACCAAATAAGAGCGAATGAAGTGGTATGATTACAAATGCATTCATATCGATCAAATGTTGGATTATATTGAGGTGTCGTACAATCATATTCATCCCACATCGCATTGGTTGTATCAAAATATGAACAAAAGTAATTAGCACTTATATTGAGTTTATATTCGTTTAAAACCTGAAAATAAAGAGAAATGTTCAATGAAGCAAATGCAGAAGCATTTTTCCTGACTGCCAGAACGATTAATGATGATGCGAGAGTTTCGTTTGTTGAATTATCAATCTTTTCATATGTTATAGGTTTATCAATGATGAATATATTAATAGATACGACATCTGTTAGAGATGGATTGCTAATAATTGCTGCAGTTGATAATTTTGCATTGATGACCTCGTCTTTATTCCTAGTATTGATAATTTCGCCACCAATGCCACATGTAAATGAAGCACCTAAAATGAGGATATTATTTTGAATTGGTCGTTGTGCAACAAGGATTGAAGTATTAGTGTTTTTTATTATATCAACATTGCTTATGTTCGATAGAAAGGTATTCATTTCGGGGTCTATGACTATTGTGTGTAAGACAATTGTGTGTAAGACAATTGTGTGCAGACAATTGTGTGTATAGACAATTGTGTGTAAGACAGATGTGTGCAAGACAATTGTGTGTAAGACAATTATGAGAACAGATGGTCATGTGCATGCACGGGTGNGGTTTAAATTCTCATCCTTACTCAATCTCTATCCATGATTTCAATAAAGATGGTCAAGTGGATATAGCAGTGGTCAATAATGGTACTAAAAATCTTGTTACATTTCTGGGAAGTGAGAACGGAACATTTGAAAATCAAGGAAGTTACGGTGTAGGATTCGATTTCGCTCCCTTGATGGTTGGTGTTGGTAGTTTCAACAAAGATGGACGCTTAGAAACTTTGGTCGCATATGATGGCATCGATCATGTCGATGTACTTGTTACGCACAACATTGGATCTTTCAATCATCAAATGAAATATTCAACTGGCAATTGGCCAAAATCTGTAGCCGTTGGCGACTTTAATAACGACACCCTTCTGGACATCGTCGTCGCTAATAATTATGACAACACTGTAAGTATCCTTCTCGGATATGGAAATGGCTCTTTTGCAGATTATACGATGTATTCAACTGGCAATTTGCCATTGTCTGTAGCTGTTGGTGATTTCAATAACGACACTCTTCTGGACATCGTCGTCGCTAATACTTATGACAACACTGTAAGTATCCTTCTCGGATATGGAAATGGCTCTTTTGCAGATTATACGATCTATTCAACTGGCAATTTGCCATTGTCTATAGCTGTTGGGGATTTCAATAACGACACCCTTCTGGACATCGTCGTCGCTAATTTTGGTGACAACACTGTAAGCATCCTTCTCGGATATGGTAATGGTTCTTTTGCGAATCAAACGAAATATTCAACTGGCTCTCAACCATATTCTGTAGCTGTTGGGGATTTTAATAATGACACCCTTCTGGACATCGTCGTCGCTAATAGTGCTGGCAACACTATAAGTATCCTTCTCGGATATGGAAATGGCTCTTTTGCAAATTATACGATCTATTCAACTGGCTCTACCCCAATATCTGTAGCCGTTGGCGACTTTAATAACGACACCCTTCTGGACATCGTCGTTGCTAATTATGGTGACAACACTGTAAGTATCCTTCTCGGATATGGTAATGGTTCTTTTGCGAATCAAACGAAATATTCTACTGGCTCTGTACCAAATTTCGTAGCTGTTGATGATTTCAATAACGACAACCAACTGGATATCGTCGTCACTAATTGGAATGACAACACTATAAGTGTGCTTCTCGGATATGGAAATGGCCTCTTTGTAAATCAAACGACCTATTCAAGTGGTTTGAGTCCTAAATCTGTAGCTGTTGGTGATTTTAATGATGATACCAGACTGGATATTGTCGTCGCTAATACTAATGAAAGAAGTGTTACTGTATATCTCGGATATCCCAATGAAGGTTTTGTAAGACAAATGAGGCTCATAACTGGTAATGGATCTCAGCCTAAGTCATTCGCTATAGGAGATTTTAACAATGATGGTCATATAGATGTTGTAGTTGCAAATTCAGGCACTAACAATGTCGGTATTTTTTTGAAATATGACAATGGTTCTTTCTCAAGTCAAATAGTATATTCGACTGATTCATCTCCATGGTCTGTTGCTGTTGGTGATTTCAACAACGATGCCATGCTTGATATCGTCGTTGCAAATCATGACAATGACAGTGTCGGCGTATTTCTTGGTTGGGGTAATGGTTCTTTTTCAAGTCAAAAAATGTTTACAACCGGTTTTAAATCTCAACCGAACGCGGTTGCTGTTGGGGATCTCAACAATGACACCTTGCTAGACATTATTGTCTCCAATTACGGCACAAACAATGTAGGTGTGTTACTTGGATATGGTAATGGGTCTTTTGCAGGTGTAAAGATTTTTTCGATTGGTTATGGATCGCTTCCGTTCTCGGTTTCTATTGGGGATTTGAACAACGACGGCAAGTTGGATTTCGCCGTCGCCAACGGAGGTGCTGACAATCTAAAAGTTTTCTTACAGACTTGTTAGTATTGTCAATGCAAACTTGAGTTTTTTTTTCATCGATTCATTATTTCTAACTGGTATTTAGTGCTACTAATATTTCTTCTAACTTCTTTTTTTTGGTTGTGGGCGTATTTAGCTACCACAATAAATGGTATTTCGCTTTTTCCAAAATTTCGAAATGATTTATGTATTCGATATATTGAAGGAGGCCAATGAGAAAGTTTGAATATTTTTTTGACATAGTTGAGACATGTTATGATCAAAACAGAATTGATGAGCTCTGAAATTGTTATGATGAATTTGTTGTGCTGCTTCGTTTTTGTCTGTTTGCTTTTGGGAAATCCAAGAAACAATTTTTCAACCGTTCTTGAAGATTGTATATAGAGAGTCCAACGCGTTTGGTTATCTAGAACAAAATCTAAAAACAGATTATGATATTAGTTTTGCTAGTATTCCAACTAAGAAATAGTAAGAAGTACCAAAGCATAAGTTTCTTTTTCTTTTTTTTCAAGGTGTGTTGCTAGAATGCTAAATATGGGTATGAATGTGCTTGTGAATTAATCGAAAAAAGATCAACCTATTTCTTCAAGACAAGACAAAGTCAATCTGTTAGTCTCAATTTTTACTTTTCAGCAATCGACTTTCTGTCATAATCGACTGATGAATTGAAGTGCTTTATATGAGTAATAAAGAAAGACAGAATACAGAATTAAATTCACCGACGCATTTCCTGTCACTTATTGAAATATAAACACTCAACAAGGCTCTGCATTACACTAGTAATCACAAACAGAAAAGACAAAATTCTCACTGACAATAAACAGTTGAAAATGGAGGTAAACAACAAAAAATGAAAGCCGGACAAAAGGAAATCCTGGAAGAAAGCTAATTTTTTTTTGTGAAAGGTGGAAGCAGTTTAGATTCATTCTAAATTGGATTGGATTTTGAAAATAAGGATGCTTGCATGGAACGGTAGCATAGTTCAATAGGTTCAAACGAAATCAAATTAAATCACATTTGAATATAATAAAAGGATGTGGGTGCGTACAGTGCTAACCTAATCGCTTTCGTCCTTGCTCAAGGACTCATCAGCGAGCTCAAGTCTTATCTGAATTCATGTTCTGGAAGATAAAATTGATTCAAATCGAAATAAGAATTTTGTGTTGTATGGGATTGATCAAGTTCATCGACATTGCATATATGCTTTGGCATATGTTCATGGTTTGTGTTGAACTATAAAACGTTACTGAACAGAGCGGCGATTAGCGTAATCCAGAGTTTTCAATTGCGTATCAGGCGATGGTTGATTTAAAAGTGGTTGCTTTTTTTTTTATATCAGTAGAGTGGAAACTTTAAATAAATGAAATTCGTGATATATTAGTATAGAAATTTTGAATTAAATCGTCAATATCTATGTCTCAATAGAATGTCCTGAGAATTTAGTTGTTACTATGAGTTGTAGGTTGAATATATAATAGAATACGTTTCAATGATACACTTTTGTATGATATCAATCGCTAGTGATAGAAAGGATGATAGAAAAGTGTATCTCTCCAACAATATTTTATATGAGAGGGTTCGAATACTTCCACTTAGATATACTTAGGGCAATCCAAAAGTAGTGACGGAGGTTCTTTTTTTTTCTTATAAATAGCTAAAACAAAATTCTTTTTTTTACCAATTGATAGAGCGTCTTTCGCTCTATCGTTCTATGTTATTTGATCTATATCCAACTAAGATTATAATAAAAAAGTTTCGACAAAAACGTTTTTTGGTGTAGTCTGGCTGGTAGCAATAGTGGAGAAAACCATCTACATGTGATTTATTTCTCGTTTTTTCTTGTTCTTTCTTTTATCATTGCCTTCTTATCTTTTATAATATCTGACTATCTATACGTACATATACATTAATGCGTCCGCCGCATTGATTTTGTGTACACGTGCCGTTCATTTGTTTATATTCCAGAAAGTCAGAAAAATAAAAGCAAGTTGTATTCTCCTTCCATTTTCTGTTTCAAATGAGTACAGAAAACTTTTGCTTCTACATTACAGTGCGCACTGCACTTAATATTCAAGCAAGAATTATTCATGACGAATTATACTCTGTTTATGGTGATCAAGCTCCTTCTCTCAGAACAGTGGAAAGGTGGTCTAAACTGTTTCGTGAAGGTCGACACGATCTGGTAGACCCATTACTGAAACAACATCTGAAAATATCGAACAAATCCGCCTTCTTATCAATGATGATCCTTATCTCACAATAGAACAGTTAGAAGATCAAACTGATTTAAGCCATGGTACAATTCATCGAATCATCACTGATTATTTGAATCTAAGAAAGATCACCGCACGATACGTACTCAAAGATCTAACCGATTTTCAACGGACTGAACGAGTTCGAATATGTAAAGAAAACTTAGCAAAATTTCAACAAGGTACATGGCGATTATGTGACATAATAACTGGTGACGAATCGTGGTTTTTCCATAAACAAATCGGTCGAAAGTCATCAAATGTAGCGTGGGTGAAAAGAGGAGATCCTTCACCTACTGTAACTCGACAAAATAAGTATGCTCCAAGGACCTTATTTTCCATCTTGTTCAAGTCAAATGGTCCTATTTTCATTCATCGTTTGGAACGTGGAGAAACTATAGATCATCAGTATTATATCAACAATTGTTTACGTCCCCTCGTCGATCAACGTAAACGCCAAAGACCTTCATACGGAACACGTGGTATTAAAATTCATCATGATAATGGAAAACCACATATTCATAAAGATGTATCCACTTATCTTCAATCAGAAGGTCTCACAGTGATACCACATTCAGCCAACTCTCCCGACTTATCAACCTGCAATTTTTGGTTGTTTGACTTAATCAAAGAAAATCTGATCGATTACAGTGATTCACAATCATTATATGATGCTGTGGACGATTTCATGTACTCTTCGAACAAAGAAGAATATAAAAAAACGTTCGAAAAATGGATTGAGAGAATGCAGTTGTGCATCGATAACGAAGGTGACTATTTCGAACATTTGATAAAATAAACAATTGATAAACTTACCCTGATATTTTCGTACTCTATCATTGTTACTCCTTGTCCACTACGAAATACACAGTTGATCAGTTCCTATAAAAGATAAGAAGACAATGATAAAAGAAAGAACAAGAAAAAACGAGAAATAAATCCCATGTAGATGCTTTTCTCCACTATTGCTACCAGCCAGACTACACCAAAAACCGTTTTTGTGGAAACTTTTTTATTATAATCTTAGTTGGATATAGATCAAATAGCATAGAACGATAGAGCGAAAGACGCTCTATCAATTGGTAAAAAAGAATTTTTTTTAGCTATTTATAAGAAAAAAAAGAACCTCCGTCACTACTTTTGGACTGCCCTAAGTAGTTTGGTAATATGGGCAAAATAGAAAAATGGTATGGATTTGATTTCACAAGTGTCATATTCGCGTTATACTATATGCTGTAGTATTAGCTATAGTTTTAGTAGCACTTTTCCGTTTGCTTGAATGTGATCCTCTTTTTCTTGATGGTTTGCTAAAGGTTTGTTTGTACTTTATGAATTGAGATGACGTTGAGTGTGGTTGTGTCTAGCAAGCATTATAGCGATTTTGTCTCGGCTAAGAGACTCATCAGATGGCTTTAACTATGTATCTGTTCTAGAATAACCTAGAGATCACAAATATTTCGTTCTGTGACGAATGCTTAAGTTTAGGAGAAGTGGCTGATCAAACGATTTATTCCAGAGTATGTGCTGTCTAATAGCGGAAAACAGCTATTACTATTCCGAAGAAAGTGCTAAATTTTTTGTAAATCGCTTCTGCGAAAGGTAGACTTGTGTGCTTATATGCTGATGATGAATGATTCTGCGAGATTTGTTTGTATGCATTTGTGGATTTATGTGAAGGAATATTTGCTTTAGTGGAANCAACAGATCCTGCAGGAACCGGCAGGAAAATGCGGGAAAATTCACCGTATCCTGCAGGAAAACACCGGAAGTCGCCGGAACTGGGTGGCAGTATTCCGGCCGGAAATTCTCCGTATTTTTTCCGGTGACTTCCGGTCAACTTCCTCCCGTTTCCTGCAGGAAGTTGGCGGAAAGTCACCGGAAAAAATACGGAGAATTTCCGGCCGGAATACTGGCACCCAGTTCCGGCGACTTCCGGTGTTTTCCTGCCGGAACCGGCCCGTACTTTTCGACCTGGGTAAGAAAAAAGGAAAGTTAAGCAATTGACTTGCAGTAATATTCTTTACTAACTTATTATAATTAAATATGTTTTATATGAGTTTTAATGTTAACTTACTTAGGTACAGCTATAACCATACTAGTGAACACTATCAAAACCGAAAGGATAATAATGTATACGAGTGTTTTAGAGTTCATATTTGAATTCATTCTTTTATGGTAATTTGGTTTGTCTTATTTGTAAAATCAAAGAATTATAAGTGGTTTAATCTACAAAGATTCATAAAACAGCCCAAAGAAATCATCTTCTAATCGAACTTCTTTTAATCAATCTTAAAAGTATAGCATGAATTTTTGTTTTATTCTTCTGTTGATTCAGTTAAAATATATTCTCGTTGTTCAAACAAACCTTTTATAGAACGGACAATAAATTCAGACAATCTAATAAAAAACCTAAAAGAGTTGACTACATTTTAGATGTCAATCTTGGCTCACTATCATTTTATAAATAAACTAAATTATACACATTATACTTGCAGTGTCTTCGCTATGTATATACATAACTTTTTCAAATGATTTGATTTATGATCAAGAACTATTGTTGATTCTAAAATAGATTGAAAATGAAACAAGGTGATGGGAAAAGAAGCAGCACAAAAACAGATTAAACTTCGAAGCTAGATAAAACAACCTAGCAAAAAGTCGTAACGTTGTAAAAGTAAAAGTATTAAAAAAAAGATAAAACTTAACGTATATACGGGCTGTTTCATTGGTTAAGGACGTGACTTAGAAAAATCAAAATGCAAATATGTGTGGGTAATAAACTTTTCTAGAGCTGGCTTTGATATGCCAAATGTCTACCAAGTCAGTGTGAATACATTAAAAAAACTAACCCTGTTGACCGTTGTTCACAGATTTTATTACCAAAATAATATGTTAAGGACATTACACAAAAAAGCGGACATCAGTTTTCACTGTATTCATCACAGCCATAGAAAATCTGTGAATTGAGACAGTTTTAAAAAAGTCAACTATACATTCTTTAGATGACTGTTTGAAAATTTGCCTGCTGGTAGGAACGTGATGGTGTACAAATGTACAAAAGAAAAACTGCTCTTATAATTGAGCAAGATGTTCAAAATAAGCTCTCACCGATGCAAAGTATTCTTCAGAATACTCAGATTATTCTAAGACAAACATTTTTCTTTCAATATTCAATGGAATTTCTACATAATCAATTTTTGAGAGAAGAATTTTTGAAGATTGGGTATGGTTGGGCGTGCTAGTGTCGCCGTGTGGGGTGACAATTTGCTATAACATATCAATCAAAACTCGACATCTACACTCTCATGTGAAATACATTATATGATGACTTGCTTTCTGCTCATATGCAAACCAATTCTCAAGTAATAAGCATTGCAACTATCCAGAATATAGATTTGAGTGTAGAAGCAATCAAGAATTACATTCATACTAATGTCTACACCTACACTTCACCCTATTTGATCTTATAGTTTTTTTCATTAGCCCACGATGATCTATTTTTATGTTTCTTTTTTTTTCGCGTTACTGATTCTTATCATTATAGGTCTACTATCTCATATTGGAAGGCACTATCTTACGTCGTCTCCATATTTCTCTCACAAACAATTATTCTTCCATTGATTACAATTGGATCATGTCTTAGGTCGATTTGTTAAAGCAATTCAAAAATATTCTATGACTTGTTAATTTATTTGGATGTCTTTACTTCCATCATCATTCGCAAACATCATTGATATAGATATACTTTTGTTTATATGTATCTATAATCGTTCTGAGTCCTTGCCAAAAAAATAGATTCGTTGGTTTCGACCGTTCCCAACTTCTTTTCTACCTACCATTTATAACTAAAGAAACGAAAAAGAATTCCTATTTCAGTTAAAGCAACTTCTGCTAAGCATTCTTTCTTTGTTTTCTCTGAATAGCTGGCTCTATGCTGTCATAATTTCATGCAGAAATACGTAGAATAACGGAAATGATCTGCAAACAAACATTAACAATGTAGGAGAGATATTTTCATTCACCTTCAAATCCATTGCTGATACACATCACATTGTTAAAAAACAGACTTCACTGCTTTATTTTGAACTTTGCCATTTAAATTCGGAAGTATTCTTTTATAGAATTTCTTTCCAATTAAATTATCTTAGGTTATGCAGATTCAACACACTTATGCTATCTATATCTTCACTTGAAATTTTTTCTCTTTATACAAAATTTATTAATTTTCAACACACTTGCACAAAAAAACAGTTAGAAGATATATTAGTAGCACTGAATAGCAGTTAGAAATAGTGAAACAATGAAAATAATTCAAGTCAGTAGTGACAATATTAACAAGTCTGTAAAAAAGTTTTCAAATTGCCAGCACCTTTGTTAGTAACGACAAAATCCAACTTTCCATCATTGTTTAAATCACCAACAGAAATCTAGAACGGAAGAGATCTATAGCCAGTTGAAAAAATATTCATACTTGTGAAAGAGCCATTTCCATATCGAAGCAATACACCTGCATTGTTTGGGCCATAATTGGGCACCATAATGTCTAGCGAGGTGTCGTTGTTGAAACCATCAACAGTAATTGTAATCCGTTGAGAGTTTAAACTGGTTGTAAACGTTTTCTGATTTGAAAAGAAACCAGCACCATTTCCAAGGAATATGCCAATATTGTCGCTGTCAAGATTCACGGCGACAATATCAAGTTTGGTATCGTTGTCGAAATTATCAACAGCCACTGACCACAGTGAGGAGTCAGTTGCATATACCATTTTATTTCTGAAAGAGCCATTGCATATCACAGAAAAACACCAATATTGTTATTGCCTGAATTTGCCACTGCAATGTCTATTTGATCGTCATTGTTAAAATCTTCAATGGCGAATGACTTGGACAAGACCCATTGCCCGTTCTGAGTCTTATTTGGTTTAGTAAACCTTGATTGGAATATCCGAGATATACACTAATACTTTCTACATTACCATTAGTGACGACGATATCCAATCGAGTTTCATTATTAAAATCACCAACAAATACAAATGAGGGACTGAGGCTAGTTGAATAGATCATTTGATTTGTAAAAACACCATTACCACCTATCTATATGTATAAAGAAGAATGTTTGTCTGTCTGTTTGCTATGCATTTCTATACGGCACGAGCAAATGCAACCAAACTTTCCAGGAATCTTCCTCTCATCCAGGAAAAGGTCAAACTCTACTTTCTCTCAAAAACAATTTCTCCTTCGACCGGAAAAGTCTGCCTATGTTGCTAACCAATCAGATTGCAGTATTCTGTACTGTAGAAATACTGCTGAGCACCACTTCGTGGACATACAGAAATATAGAACAAGAGGTTTTCGAGGATGATGAGTTCGAATCTGAGGTCCAGTTGTCTTGAAATCTCATTGGTTATCCGAAAACCAATAGAAACTCAACTCCTAAAAAAAAAGACAGAAACACTTATACTTTCGAGAAAATGATGAAGCAGGGGTTTTTTCACGTGATAAGTTCGAATCTAAGGTCCATTCGCCTTGAAACCTGATTGGTTGACCTAAAAACCAATAGGAACTCAGCTAATAAGAAACCAGCTACTCAAACTTGTGTTTTCAGGAGAAATATCAGGTAGGGAGTTCCAGAGGCAGGGAGTTCAAATTACAGATCCAGGCTATGAATGTGACTATAGAGTCTGGAAGGGTGTATCTTCTTCTGTTTATATAAACAGCAATGTTTGTCTGTCTGTTCTTTGTGCATTTGGTGTTGGTGATAACTAGCATAATAAAATTTTCCATGGCATACCCCTTAGC